AAAACCACTGTATAAAAGCATGAGGTCCTTACATTACAAAAAAAAAGTCACATGTATTCTCCATAGATTCAACTTTTGAAAACTGAGTACATTAAAACATGCCTTTGGAAAGCTAATCTGGATTGTGGTATCTTATGCAGACGCAAAACTCTTTAAGTATACTACCATTCGATCTCCATTATAAAGTAATAATGACATATTTCAGTCTTTTCCCATTTCAGGCAATTCAGCACTGCATGGAGATCTGCATTATAGCAGCTGGGCCATGGGAACTGTAGATTTCTCACGCAAACCAAAAGGAAAGCAGACACATTCCTGGTGTTTGATGCTTTCCATGCTCTGAACTCATATGTAATGGTTAAAAAAAACCCTTTTCTGATTCTCAGAAAACTAGGAAAACTGAGAAAGTTCATGGGTTCCCGTGACCACCGCCTTTAGGTAAGGATCTTCCCGACTTCCACGGGGTCCGGAAGGCTGTCGTCCACCACCTCTGTGAGACAACTACAGGGTTCACTCACTCATCGAATACGCATCTCACACCAAGACAACCCCAGAGCTGACACCAGCTTGCCTGGACCCGGAGGGATCACACACACACACACACACACACACACACACACACACACACACACACGGGAGGACACTAGACGGACAGGCGGAACCACGGCACTCCTCACAACCTTTTTTTCCTTCTCAGTCTCCTCACAGGATGTAAACCCCCTGTGGGCAGGGATGTCGCTGCCTCCACCCCTTCCTGGCCCAGAGTAAGGGCCAGTGAGACATCTCTGAGCAGGGGAGGGAGGCAGGAATCATTGAAGGTTTTTCTTAACACCAAGATGAATGGCCTGGTTAGGTCCCTTGTACCCAGGTCCCTCCAGCCTGAGTCCCTGCAGCCTGAGTCCCTCCTGCCTGGGTCCCTCCTGCCTGGGTCCCTCCTGCCTGAGTCCCTCCTGCCTGAGTCCCTCCTGCCTGGGTCCCTCCTGCCTGGGTCCCTCCTGCCTGAGTCCCTCCTGCCTGAGTCCCTCCTGCCTGGGTCCCTCCTGCCTGGGTCCCTCCTGCCTGAGTCCCTCCTGCCTGAGTCCCTCCTGCCTGGGTCCCTCCTGCCTGGGTCCCTCCTGCCTGAGTCCCTCCTGCCTGAGTCCCTCCTGCCTGGGTCCCTCCTGCCTGGGTCCCTCCTGCCTGAGTCCCTCCTGCCTGAGTCCCTCCTGCCTGGGTCCCTCCTGCCTGGGTCCCTCCTGCCTGAGTCCCTCCTGCCTGAGTCCCTCCTGCCTGGGTCCCTCCTGCCTGGGTCCCTCCTGCCTGAGTCCCTCCTGCCTGAGTCCCTCCTGCCTGGGTCCCTCCTGCCTGGGTCCCTCCTGCCTGAGTCCCTCCTGCCTGAGTCCCTCCTGCCTGGGTCCCTCCTGCCTGGGTCCCTCCTGCCTGAGTCCCTCCTGCCTGAGTCCCTCCTGCCTGGGTCCCTCCTGCCTGGGTCCCTCCTGCCTGAGTCCCTCCTGCCTGAGTCCCTCCTGCCTGGGTCCCTCCTGCCTGGGTCCCTCCTGCCTGAGTCCCTCCTGCCTGAGTCCCTCCTGCCTGGGTCCCTCCTGCCTGGGTCCCTCCTGCCTGAGTCCCTCCTGCCTGAGTCCCTCCTGCCTGGGTCCCTCCTGCCTGGGTCCCTCCTGCCTGAGTCCCTCCTGCCTGAGTCCCTCCTGCCTGGGTCCCTCCTGCCTGGGTCCCTCCTGCCTGAGTCCCTCCTGCCTGAGTCCCTCCTGCCTGGGTCCCTCCTGCCTGGGTCCCTCCTGCCTGAGTCCCTCCTGCCTGAGTCCCTCCTGCCTGGGTCCCTCCTGCCTGGGTCCCTCCTGCCTGAGTCCCTCCTGCCTGAGTCCCTCCTGCCTGGGTCCCTCCTGCCTGGGTCCCTCCTGCCTGAGTCCCTCCTGCCTGAGTCCCTCCTGCCTGGGTCCCTCCTGCCTGGGTCCCTCCTGCCTGAGTCCCTCCTGCCTGAGTCCCTCCTGCCTGGGTCCCTCCTGCCTGGGTCCCTCCTGCCTGAGTCCCTCCTGCCTGAGTCCCTCCTGCCTGGGTCCCTCCTGCCTGGGTCCCTCCTGCCTGAGTCCCTCCTGCCTGAGTCCCTCCTGCCTGGGTCCCTCCTGCCTGGGTCCCTCCTGCCTGAGTCCCTCCTGCCTGAGTCCCTCCTGCCTGGGTCCCTCCTGCCTGGGTCCCTCCTGCCTGAGTCCCTCCTGCCTGAGTCCCTCCTGCCTGGGTCCCTCCTGCCTGGGTCCCTCCTGCCTGAGTCCCTCCTGCCTGAGTCCCTCCTGCCTGGGTCCCTCCTGCCTGGGTCCCTCCTGCCTGAGTCCCTCCTGCCTGAGTCCCTCCTGCCTGGGTCCCTCCTGCCTGGGTCCCTCCTGCCTGAGTCCCTCCTGCCTGAGTCCCTCCTGCCTGGGTCCCTCCTGCCTGGGTCCCTCCTGCCTGAGTCCCTCCTGCCTGAGTCCCTCCTGCCTGGGTCCCTCCTGCCTGGGTCCCTCCTGCCTGAGTCCCTCCTGCCTGAGTCCCTCCTGCCTGGGTCCCTCCTGCCTGGGTCCCTCCTGCCTGAGTCCCTCCTGCCTGAGTCCCTCCTGCCTGGGTCCCTCCTGCCTGGGTCCCTCCTGCCTGAGTCCCTCCTGCCTGAGTCCCTCCTGCCTGGGTCCCTCCTGCCTGGGTCCCTCCTGCCTGAGTCCCTCCTGCCTGAGTCCCTCCTGCCTGGGTCCCTCCTGCCTGGGTCCCTCCTGCCTGAGTCCCTCCTGCCTGAGTCCCTCCTGCCTGGGTCCCTCCTGCCTGGGTCCCTCCTGCCTGAGTCCCTCCTGCCTGAGTCCCTCCTGCCTGGGTCCCTCCTGCCTGGGTCCCTCCTGCCTGAGTCCCTCCTGCCTGAGTCCCTCCTGCCTGGGTCCCTCCTGCCTGGGTCCCTCCTGCCTGAGTCCCTCCTGCCTGAGTCCCTCCTGCCTGGGTCCCTCCTGCCTGGGTCCCTCCTGCCTGAGTCCCTCCTGCCTGAGTCCCTCCTGCCTGGGTCCCTCCTGCCTGGGTCCCTCCTGCCTGAGTCCCTCCTGCCTGAGTCCCTCCTGCCTGGGTCCCTCCTGCCTGGGTCCCTCCTGCCTGAGTCCCTCCTGCCTGAGTCCCTCCTGCCTGGGTCCCTCCTGCCTGGGTCCCTCCTGCCTGAGTCCCTCCTGCCTGAGTCCCTCCTGCCTGGGTCCCTCCTGCCTGGGTCCCTCCTGCCTGAGTCCCTCCTGCCTGAGTCCCTCCTGCCTGGGTCCCTCCTGCCTGGGTCCCTCCTGCCTGAGTCCCTCCTGCCTGAGTCCCTCCTGCCTGGGTCCCTCCTGCCTGGGTCCCTCCTGCCTGAGTCCCTCCTGCCTGAGTCCCTCCTGCCTGGGTCCCTCCTGCCTGGGTCCCTCCTGCCTGAGTCCCTCCTGCCTGAGTCCCTCCTGCCTGGGTCCCTCCTGCCTGGGTCCCTCCTGCCTGAGTCCCTCCTGCCTGAGTCCCTCCTGCCTGGGTCCCTCCTGCCTGGGTCCCTCCTGCCTGAGTCCCTCCTGCCTGAGTCCCTCCTGCCTGGGTCCCTCCTGCCTGGGTCCCTCCTGCCTGAGTCCCTCCTGCCTGAGTCCCTCCTGCCTGGGTCCCTCCTGCCTGGGTCCCTCCTGCCTGAGTCCCTCCTGCCTGAGTCCCTCCTGCCTGGGTCCCTCCTGCCTGGGTCCCTCCTCCCTGAGTCCCTCCTGCCTGAGTCCCTCCTGCCTGGGTCCCTCCTGCCTGGGTCCCTCCTGCCTGGGTCCCTCCTCCCTGAGTCCCTCCTGCCTGAGTCCCTCCTGCCTGGGTCCCTCCTGCCTGGGTCCCTCCTGCCTGGGTCCCTCCTCCCTGAGTCCCTCCTCCCTGAGTCCCTCCTGCCTGGGTCCCTCCTGCCTGGGTCCCTCCTGCCTGAGTCCCTCCTCCCTGAGTCCCTCCTCCCTGAGTCCCTCCTCCCTGAGTCCCTCCTGCCTGGGTCCCTCCTGCCTGGGTCCCTCCTGCCTGAGTCCCTCCTGCCTGGGTCCCTCCTCCCTGAGTCCCTCCTGCCTGAGTCCCTCCTGCCTGGGTCCCTCCTGCCTGGGTCCCTCCTGCCTGGGTCCCTCCTCCCTGAGTCCCTCCTCCCTGAGTCCCTCCTGCCTGGGTCCCTCCTGCCTGGGTCCCTCCTGCCTGAGTCCCTCCTCCCTGAGTCCCTCCTGCCTGAGTCCCTCCTGCCTGGGTCCCTCCTGCCTGGGTCCCTCCTCCCTGAGTCCCTCCTCCCTGAGTCCCTCCTGCCTGGGTCCCTCCTGCCTGGGTCCCTCCTGCCTGAGTCCCTCCTCCCTGAGTCCCTCCTCCCTGAGTCCCTCCTCCCTGAGTCCCTCCTGCCTGGGTCCCTCCTGCCTGGGTCCCTCCTGCCTGAGTCCCTCCTCCCTGAGTCCCTCCTCCCTGAGTCCCTCCTCCCTGAGTCCCTCCTCCCTGAGTCCCTCCTGCCTGGGTCCCTCCTGCCTGGGTCCCTCCTGCCTGAGTCCCTCCTCCCTGAGTCCCTCCTGCCTGGGTCCCTCCTGCCTGGGTCCCTCCTCCCTGAGTCCCTCCTGACTGAGTCCCTCCTCCCTGAATCTCTCCTCCCTGGGTCCCTCCTGCCTGAGTCCCTCCTGCCTGAGTCCCTCCTGCCTGGGGCCCTCCTGCCTGAGTCCCTCCGCCTGAGTCCCCCCGCTCTGAGTCCCTCCTGCCTGGGTCCCTCCTGACTGAGTCCCTCCTGACTGAGTCCCTCCTCCCTGAATCTCTCCTCCCTGAGTCCCTCCTCCCTGAGTCCCTCCTGCCTGGGTCCCTCCTGCCTGGGTCCCTCCTGCCTGAGTCCCTCCTCCCTGAGTCCCTCCTGCCTGGGGCCCTCCTCCCTGAGTCCCTCCTGCCTGGGGCCCTCCTCCCTGAGTCCCTCCTCTCTGAGTCCCTCCTCCCTGAGTCCCTCCTCCCTGAGTCCCTCCTCCCCGGGGCCCTCCAAGCCGTGCTCGGACCTGGGTCCTTCCTACCTGGGTTGCTCCTCAGGCGGCTCTCAGCAAGCTCGGAGATGGCTCCGGCCGTCGAAGTCTTTTTCAGCCGAACCCCCCCAGAAGCGGCCGTACTCCCCGGTTTGTTGAGCATGTCCTCGCTGCTGGCCCTCTTGAGCTGAGAGGCGGAGGACGAAAACGTACAGCGTCAGTAAGGAGTGCTATAGAGCGAGACAGCCCGGAGCGGCCCCACCCGCCCCGTGGTTAAGATGCCGTGATGGCACTGGAGGAGTGTCCCAGTGGGAAGTGGAAGCCCGCAAAGCTAGACAAACCTGTGTCTCTCGTTTACAGGTTGGAGTATGACCTTCCGTTAGTGTTTCAAAGAATATTATAAGATGGTGGGTGAGTATTACCCATTATGTCATGCTTCAAATAATGTTTTTTTAAAAAGCTGCATTCCTGAGCCTGGATGGCTCAGTTGGTTGAGCGTCAGACTTCGGCTCAGGTCACGATCTCACAGTGTGTGAGTTCGAGCCCTGCATGGGGCTCTCTGCTGTAAAGCCCGTTTCGGATCCTCTGTCCTCCTCTCTCTCTGCACCTCCCCTCCTCACACTCTATATAAAACAAAAACAAAAAAACCTGCTTTCCTGGGTTAAAAAAATTTTTTTGAGGGGCACCTGGGTGGCTCAGTCAGTTAAGCGTCCGACTTCAGCTCAGGTCATGATCTCACGTGGGTTCCAGCTCCACATCAGGCTCTGTGCTGACAGCTCAGAGCCTGGAGCCTGCTTTGGATTCTGTGTCTTCCTCTCTCTCTGTCCCTTCCCTGCTCATGTTGTCTCTCTCTCTCAGAAATAAATAAAACAGTAAAAAAATTTTTTTTCAATTGTTTTTTGAAAAATGGGAGCTGATAAAAAAAGAACTGTGAGGTCCACAAAAGGCAAGATAGGGTAGGTGCAGAAAATTCAGGGGCAACAAAAAATAGCTTAAAATACACACCCCAGTTATAGAGATGTATGTGTGTGTATATATATATATATATATATATATGTACATGTATACATATGTATGAATACATGCACATACACATGCATGGAGGAAGGAGAAGGAAGACAAGAAACGATCTGATTATGTACTACGTGCTCCATACCAGGCCCTTCGTGTATGATCTCACATAGACGTGGGCAAAGGGAAGAAAGGAACTTTCCTGGAGGCCAGAAGAGCACTGCTTATGGAGACAGAAAGAAAGCAGAACCCCTCTGCTCCTTTTCTGCTTTCTTCCCTGTCACGAAACCAGGAAAAGAAATATGTGTTAAAAGGAATTAAAATCCAAGATGGGGAGCCCCTCAATGAGCTCACAGTTCTGGCCCAAGTAAATTACACTCAGGGTTAGTGAGAGACATCGCGAATACATTTTCTCAACCACCGTAAGTCTTCTTGAAAGAACATTCCTGAAGACGGATAGTGCTAGAAGACGGGAGCCATCCTGAATATATCTGGAGAGAGCAGTGTGAGAAAGCCCTCAAATCAACAGAGGCGTGGGGCAGGCAGCCCCTGCCCCCCACATGGGCTGAGAGCCCAAAGGCCCTGCCCATCCTGATCCACTGGCTTTGGGGTCATTCACTGAAGGTTAGGTGTTTAAATATTTGGGGTCATTCACTGAAGGTTAGGTGTTTAAATATTTGCACAATTAAAAAATTTTTCCAGTTTTGCATTGTTTAGATTTCAGGGTATTGCTACACATACCCCAGAATGGCTTGAAAGAGAAGAAAAAAGAAAAAGAAAAGAAAAGAAACCCCAAACCACGTGTTGCTGAGGTTGTGAAGCAAAGGGAACTCTCCTGCTCTGCTCGCAGGACTACGGACTGGTCCGCCCCATTGGAAGCTGGCAATACTGACTAGAGCTGAATATTTGGACCCTGTGATTCAGCCATCCCACTCCTAAATCTATACCCCAGAGAGAAATGGGGACATAGGTTCACTAAGAGAACATTCACGGCAGCTTTATTTATGATAGACCCAAAATAATACAATCCAAATGTCCACCCTCAGGAGAAGGGGCAAAGTAAACAATGACTTAGTAGACAACAGAAAGTACACAGTAAAAAAAAAAAAGGAATTACTGATACACTAATAGATGAATGGATCCCCTACAGAGATGCCAAGTGAAAGAAACTAGACAAAAGAGTATACACTTCCTGATTTCCTTTTAATTTTTAATTCTTTTTAAAGTTTTATTTATTTCTGAGAGACAGCGAGAGAGACAGAGTGAGCAGGGGAGGGTTGGAGAGAGACGGAGACACAGAATCTGAAGCTGGCTCCAGCCTCTAAGCAAGCTGTCAGCACAGAGCGAGAAGCAGGGCTCGAACCCAAGAACCAGTAGGTTCTTTGGCCTGAGCCAAAGTCAGACACTTAACCGACTGAGCCACCCAGGCACCCCTTCCTGATTTCATTTTTACGAACTAAAAGCCAAATGAAGGTGCTAGAAGTCAAAATAGTGGTTCCCTCTGGGGGTGTTACTGACTGGGAAGGGATCTTCTGGGGGCGCGGAATGTTCTATCTATATCCTGACTTGGTGGTGGTTATACAGATATCAGCACATGTAAAAATTCAAAGTGCTGTACAGCTAAGACTAAGATTAATGCACCCCACATACTTTATTCTAAGTGTGTCTAGCTTCAACAAAAAATAAAAGGAAAATGAGGGGATGGGTTATAATTTGGGTGAAGTCTTGGTTCCACACCTGCAAATGCTAGTCTACTTTTTTCCTTTTTTCCCCCATTGTTATTTTAGAGATTTTTTTTATTGTGGTAAAATACATGTGACACAAAATGTGCCATTTTAAATGTACATGTCAGTGGCATTATATACATTCGTACCGTTCAGTAACCATCACCACCCAATGTCGACCTCTGGGACTTTTCCACCATCACAAAGTGAGGCTCTACTGATGAAACAATAATTCCCCGTCGCTTTCTACAGGAGGGAAGATAGTGGGGGCCTCTGCATGGCTCGGTCAGTTAAGCGTCGGACTTCAGCTCAGGTCATGATCTCACGGTTCATGAGTTCAAGCCCTGTTGGGCCCTGTGCTGACAGCTCAGGCCCTGGAGGCTGCTTCGGATTCTATGTCTCCCTCTCTGCCCCTCCCCCACTCATACTATGTCTCTCTGTCTCTCCCTCGAAAATAAATAAAATTTAAAAATTTTTTTAAAAAGGGAAGATAGTAAAAATCTTAAGATTAGCCCAGAAGTTCTGGTCAATGTCTTCAAACAAATTCTTTAGGTAAAAACAAATAGCTAATATGGAAAGGATGATTGATATATACTTCCAGTCACTAGAAGTGAGTGGAACCATAGTTTCTGGCCAATTGCACCAACCCCTTAAAAAAGGACTAAATATGGCACCTGGATTGTGGCGGAGGTCAGTCCATTGCCCTTCTTTTATTTATTTATTTATTAGTATTGTTTTTAATGTTTATTTTTGAGAGAGAGAGAGAGACAGAGTGTTAGTCAGGGAAGGGAAGAGAGAGAGGGAGACACAGAATCTGAAGCAGGCTCCAGGTTATGAGAGAGCCCAACGCAGGACTTGAACTCACAGCTGGCAAGATCATGACCTGAGCAGAGGGTGGACTCTTAACCGACTGAGCCCCCCAGGCGACCCACTCCACTGCCCTTCTTCTGGGGACTCCAGTATTGTTTTTCTACCTCCTGTCTCAGAGTAACACGGATTCCTACACTCCATTTCTCTATGTGTGTTTAGCGCTAAATGACAATAGTTCATGATGTCAGCAACTTTTTCTCAGTAGAAAAAAACTATTATTCGCTCTGCCTGGATGCCTCCCTGGGTCTCCAAAGAAAATCAATTCTGATGTGAGATTTTGAAAATTCCCTAGACAAACACGTCAAGTGGAAAAGGGAAATCGTCCCACTTAAGGGGGTTTCTAAGGCAATAATGCACATAATGTGCACTTGGTTTTGTTTTCCTCCATCTGATTCCCCGATGGTACTAGGATCGGTAAGTCAGGTGCAAAGTGTGGAAAGATCTAAGGCCACAGCAAAAGGGCAGGAGAGCAAAGGCTTGGTCTGCAAACCAGAACAGGGAATCCAAAATGGGAGGACAGCCTCCCTCCCACCACCCCTTACCCCGGGCCACCCACCGGGGCCCCAAGTGAAACTGCCTCCCGCAAGCCCCCCACGGCCTCCACCCACCTCCACACTCTGGGCGTGGCGCCCATGGGGTAGAGCTCGCTCCCCCCACCCACCGTTGCGTAAGAGCTCCGTCCTTGATGAGATGACAGGCGGCGGAGGCCACGGAGGACCGGATTCAGCAAGCGGTGGGAGACTTCCCCCTTCGTGGTCCCACTGTGTGTTATAAATAGATCTGGTCCCGTCCTTTCCAGGCAGAAGGACACATCTGATGTGCCACAGGCCACCAGCACGTTATCGCCTTGGCAGGCAGCGTGCGGACTTTGGATGACAGTAAGGCTTTTACAGGGAGCACCTCGTTTCCCCTGGGCCCTCCACAAGGAATCCCATCTGAGAAAGATTTACTGCTCAGAAGCTCTCCCCGGAGGCGGGCCGTATAGACAGAAAACTGGTCCTTCTTGTCCTCTGAAGCAAACCTCTTCCTCTATCACTATTTTTTGGCTGCCGCATCAGACACGGAAAGCTACTTGTCTTAGCAGTTCTTGTTCTTTCTCTATTCATAGCTGCATTTGGGGCTTGGTTTCCTGGTCACCGAATGTGGCTTCAGCGCTGCTTGAGATTTCTGGGTTTGTTACAGAAGATCCCAAGGCAGGTATGCGCTCCTTTGATATGTTTAGTAAGTATTTTCAATAATGCTTCCACTGATATTTGAGCCGCTGAGCACCTGTGCGTGAAAGCTTACAAAGGGAAAAAGTTTAAATCGCTCACAGATTAATGTAACTAAGAAATTCCTCTCAATTCCACAAAGGCGGAGACCGGTAGAATCTGAAGCTCTAAAATCGCACATAACCTAATCCCCTCTTCAAAGGAAGAAAACATGTTATGGTTGGAGCAGCGGCTCTCAAACTTGGGGTGCGTCAGAATCCTTGCGGGGGCTTGTTAAAGTGCAGACGGCTGCCCACACCCCAGACTCCGATCTGCCTACCACCACCGACTTTCTGATTCTACAGTCTGAGGCGAGGCCTGAGAATCTGCATTTCTAGCAAGTTCCCTCCCAGTGGATGCTGATGCAGCTGATCTGCGGCCCACATCTGAGAGCCAGTGGCTTAGCACAGCACTGTTGATGTAAATATAATTCCTGCCACATATGTCTAGTAGCCACATTAAAAGAACAGAATGAGGGGTGCGTGGGTGGCTCAGTCAGGTGAGGATCCGGCTCTTGATTTCAGCTCAGTTCATGATCTCATGGTCCTGGGGATCAAGCCCAGCACTGGGCTCTGCGCTGACGGCATGAAGCCTGCTTGGGATTTTCTCTCCCTTTCTCTGGCCCTCCTCTCCTTGTGCTGGCTCTCTTTCACTATAAATAAACTTAAAAAAAATTTTTTTAAAGAGTAAAACGAAAGGTAAAATTAATGTTAAAAATATATTTCCTTGGGGCGCCTGGGTGGCTTAGTCGGTTGAGCGTCCGACTTTCGCTTAGGTCATGATCTCGCGGTTCGTGGGTTCGAGCCCCGCGTCGGGCTCTGTGCTGACTGCCAGCTCAGAGCCTGGAGCCTATTTCAGAGTCTGTGACTCCCTCTCTCTCTGACCCTCCCCTGCTCATGCTGTCTCTCTCTCTCTCTCCTAAAAATAAATAAAAATATTTAAAAAATATATATATATATATATTTCCTTAACCCAACACACTCAAAATATTATCAATCAATGTGAAATATATTAATGAGGCATTTTAGGCGCACGTGGGTGGCTCGGTTGGTTAAGCAGCTGATTCTTGATCTGGGGTCAGGTCATGATCTCACGCTTCATAAGTTCAAGCCCTACATCGGGAGGATTCTCTCTTCCTCTCCCTCTGCCCCTCCCCAGCTCGCACTCTCTATCAAAATAAATAAATTTTAAAAAAATAAACAAAAAAAGTACCTATCACTGGCAGAAGCAACCAACATTTCATTGTTCTTAGGAAACCCTTCTAAGCTTCATAACTTATTATTAAACACTTTTTTTAAGTTTATTTTTTTATTTTGAGAGAGAGAGAGAGCATGCACACACACGCATAAGCAGGGGAGGGGCAGAGAGAGAGGGAGACAGAGAATCCCAAGCAGGCTCTGTACTGTCAGCATATAGTCAGACTCAGGGCTCGATCCCAACAACCGTGAGATCATGACCTTAGCCAATATCAATAGGTGGGTGCTTAACCAGCTGAGCCACCCAGGCACCCCTAAACGCTGCTTTTAAAAACATTTTGATATATTCCAGAAGCTCTAGTGCTCTTAAGTATACATATTAACTTAAAATCTGCATTACAAATGTTTCCCAAAAAGGGGCGCCTGAGTGGCTCAGTCAGTTAAGCATCTGACTTCAGCTCAGCTCATGATCTCATTTGTGAGTTCGAGCCCCGCGTCAGGCTCTGTGCTGACAGCTCTGAGCCTGGAGCCTGCTTCGGATTCTGTGTCTCCCCCTCTCTCTCTCTGCCCCTCCCTCACTTGTGCTCTGTCTCTCTTTCTCTCAAAAATGAATAAATGTTAAAAACAATTTTTTAATGTTTCCCAAATGTGCGATCTCGGTCAAGGAGAATAAAAATAAAAGTCATGGAAATCATGAATCCAGGGCAATAGAATGATAAAGAAAACTATGTGTAGATCCCTTTCTCCACATTTACTCCCCGGGACAGCTCGCTCGCTTGCCTGAGCTCTCACAGCTAGAAAGTGGTCGAGGCAGGATCCCCACTCGGCCTGGTCTGACCCACTCCCAGCCTGGGCTCCTCTCACTCCAGGCCACCCTCAAACGGCCGCTCCCGGCAGAGCCGGTGGACTGAGGCATTGGATGAACACTGAGTGCCCCCCAGGGAGCAGGTGCTATTCTAAGCGTGAGGGACAGAGCTGTGCTAGAAATGAATTAACACACCCTGCCCTCAGGAGGCTTACACTCTAGCTGTTGCTAGACCGATACTCCCCAAGCAAGTATGTGCGACGGTAGTAAGAGCTGAGGAGGAAAATAAGAGGGGTGAGGACGCTGTATGCGGGACCACTTTACAGTGAGTGGTCAGGGGTGACATCTGACAAAGTGACATTTGAGCAGAGACTTAAGGGAGAAGTGGCAGATGTGCAGGGGTGGGGAGGAGAAATATTCTTGGCAGAAGGAGTGCGCCTGGCTCGTGGAGGGACGGTGCCACGGGCACCAGGAGGCCGCGTGGCCCGAGCTCAGGGGGCAGCAGTGACGTCTGAGAGGAAACAGGAGCTCCAGGCCATCACCGGCTACATCAAGGACTTTGCTTTTCACTCTGAGTGACAGGGGGAGCCCCGAGGGACTTCCCAACAGAGAGGTGACACGATAAATGCATTAGAAGGACAACTCTCGCACGTGCAGAGCACGGAACGTAGGGTGCGCAGACAAAGCACAGAGACCGCTGAGGAAGGCTGAGCAGGGAAGGTGGTGGGATGAGCCAGGTGGTCCCCAGGGCGGGGGTGGGAGTTGGCTGAAGGTGACATCGAGTCTGACGGTAGAAGCGATGATGTTCTGCTGACGGCCTGTGACATGTGAGAGAAGCAGGGCCCAGACGGGGCCACGGGATGTGCGCTCAAATGGAAAGATTCGTGAGGAGCAGGTCGGGGGGCGGGAGAGGGGTCCGGGGAGGAATCCGTTTTGGACATGTTATGTTCTAGGTGCCTTTCAGATATCTGAGAGGCGAGGTCACAGAAGCCGCTGGAGGCCACCTGGATGGAGACGCAAACTTGTATGTCTCCCACTTACACAGCCGACCCTTGAACAGCACAGGGGTCGGGGGCCCAATCCTCATGTGGTCAAATGTCCACGTACAACTTATAACTCTCCACAGACTTTACTAATACCCTCCTATTGACCAGACGCCTTACCGATAATATAAACAGTCAATTAACATGTATTTTGCATGTGATATGTCTTACACACCGTATGCGTATAGTTAGGTGAGCTAGAGAGGAGAAACTGTGAAGGAAATCACAAGAGAATACAGATTTACGGTATTGTCGTGTAAAAAATGGGCATATACGTGGACTCGTGAAGTTCAAACCCACGTTCAGGCGTCAACTGTAGTATTAAAATTCACAAGAACAGATGCTAACACCGAGAACGACTGTTCTCAATGGGGACAGTACTGACCCTCAGGGAATGTGTTGGAAACGGGGGAGGGGGGGGCATTTTTAGTCATCACTCCGATTGGTGGCACCACTCATATTTAATGGGTGGGAGAACGGGGAACCCAGATGTCCTACAATGCATGTGACAATCTTCCACAGATATTCACAAAGGTGCAGCACCTTTTTATCATTATCTGAGCCTTGAGTATCCCTTCGTTTTACATATAAAAGCGATGTGCTTCTGGGGCGCCCGGGGGGCTCAGTCACTTGAGCCTCTGACTCTTGATTGTGGCTCAGGTCGTGATCTCACAGTTCGTGGGTTCGAGCCCCACAGGGGGCTCTGTGCTGACGGTGTGGAGCCTGCTTGGGATTCTCTGTCTTCCTCTCTCTCTGCCCCCTTCTCTCTCTCAGAAATAAAGAAACATAAAAACAATGTTCTTCTGACCCAGTTTTAAGGACACACTGAACTAGGGAAGACTGCATTTTGCTTCAGAACTTTAGAGTGTTCACCATTTCCAAACAATCACATCACTCCCTCAACATCCTTAGGGGTGTTTGAGTCATCCACACGATGGGCTTGGGTCAGTCTGCATCACGGCTGCCACATCCGTGGTGCTCTGAGGGGTACCTCAGCTCCCTCGGCAGTCAGGCGCAGGCAAATGCAGATGGGAATACAGATCATTTAATCATAAACTAATTGCCTTTCAGTTTTCTTTTATCATTAGGATGTTATATTGATTCTCCAAAGCATGTGGGCAGGTAGGTTATAGTATCTCAGACTCTCATCTCTGGATCACAAGAGACGCTGGAAGAGAGATGAGGCCCCAGAACTACGCCCTGGGCCCGCCTGGTGTTGGAAACCCAGGGGGTGAGGACGTGCCGCCAGGGAGAGAGGAGGAAACTGAGGCAAGAAGGCATTCCCAGACAGAGGGCGCGATCAACGGTGTTCACACTGCTGACGGGCAATCAGGCAAGGACTGAGCACTGACAGCTCCGTTTATCACGTCCATGGAGCTCACGTCCGTGGTGACCTTGACCCCCACCTAGTGCGGTGCTGGGGCAAAACTCTCTCTGGAGAGTCCACATAATCCAGGACAGGGGATCCTAGTTTCTCTGTTAAACCTTTTGCACATTTCCTTTCTCCCGACCCTCAGGGCACCCCTGCCACCTCCCTTTGCTCTTGCTGCCTTGGGTTAGGATGGACTGGTTCTCCCAGGACCCTCCTTGGAGCCTCCTTTCTGGCCTTGAGAGGCCACCCGTCTCGCTTACTGCCCTCTTCAGTCCTCCCGCCCAGGGCCCCCCCGGGGCGCCCAGCAGCCGGGCGCTTCCAGCTGTACCTTGCTGAGCCGGGACTCGAAAGCCAGGGAGGTGGAGGACTTCGAGCTCTTCATGCCCGATGAGGCTGCCGGGAGGGGCCGCGTGCGGTCTGCCCCATGGCTGCCCGCTTTGATGACTGGGCTCCAGGCCTTGGCCGCGCTCCTCATGTTTGTCCTAGTGAGTCCGTCCTGCACGAGACCGGAAAGAAAAACGTGTGTCCACCACTTGAACATGCTGACTGACGTCGCAGAGTTCGCCCCCAGCCCCCCTCCACGCTCCCTCTCTTATCGTAGAGAACAAGGGCTTCTGATCGGACTTTAAGACGAGGATTCTACTCTGCAGAGGCCACCTTTGCATGAGGCTACTTTTTACAACTAATGCTGGCTTTTACCAAACTACTGAAAACGTACATGCAGTATTATTGATGTTCTGACATTACTTTACAGCAAAATGACAGCTCTGGGTTGCTCGGGGTATTACTATATTAGCATATGGTATAATACATACTATTATTACACCATAGGATTAGACTATATACCCACACACTATATACCTATCCCCTTAAAACAGATCAGCTTGCATCCAGACCTACTATGTCCATAGGGCTTGCAGCGTAGGGTTGTTAATGGCATAACCTACCTAATTTTCAAATAGATATAAACGAATTACTTCCAAATTGGAGTTCATAGAAGCATAGCCTTTTCTTCTTTTTGGGCAAAGACGGGTATCATTTAAAAAATCAATGGAGGTGCCTGGGTGGCTCAGTCAGTTAAGTGTCCAACTTTGACTCAGGCCACGATCTCACAGTTCATGGGTTCAAGCCCCACACTGGGCTCGCTGCTATCAGCACAGAGTCCATTTTGGATCCCTGCCCCCCCCCCAAACAAATAAACATTGAAACAAATCTTTACAAAAATAAAATAAAAATTAATGGAGCACATTTTAATTGGTCAGATCCGACATTGTAGGGCAGTTACCCACCCCGAACGAAAACATTTTATAGAAGAAAAATCGTGCTAAGTAGCAGGCCATAGCTAAAGGCCCAAGGGGAGAGCCTGTATACGAAGACGTGGAAAGTAGCCTGAGCCTTGTGATCAGCACGCAGGGCTCTCATTCCTGTGAGAGGTGTAGCCCGCCATCTCTTGACCTCTCTGAGCCTGTTTCTTCCGCCAGCAGCAAAACGGGACGGGAATAAATGCTCTCCAGGGGCTCATTCAGCTCTAACTCTGCCTCTGTGGGTTCTCATGACCAAGGGCGGGGGGGCAGGACACAGAATACCCAAACCACAGGTGATGCCGCATCCTTTCAAAGAAACAAACGAGGGGCGCCTGGGTGGCTCAGTCCATTAAGCGTCCGACTTCAGTCCAGGTCACGATCCCACAGATCGTGGGTTCGAGCCCCGCATTGGGCTCTGTGCCAACAGCTCAGAGCCTGGGTCCTGCTTCCGATTCTGTGTCTCCCTCTCTCTCTGCCCCTCCCCTGCTCGAGCTCTGTGTCTCTCAAAACTAAATAAACATTAAGAATTTTTTTAAAAAAATAAACAAACCAGAAAAACCCATTTTAAAAAACACCAGCAGGTGACAGCAAACTCCAGCAGCCACGCTCATAGAACCTGGAGGTCTGATTAACCGTCCCTGAGGGAGGAATCGTAGCTGGTGCCAAGCGGCCCTGGGAGCCTCACGGCGTCCCGCGAGACCCCATTAGGCACCTATAACAAAAACAACAGGCCGCCTCCCCAGCCTAGCGCAGGCTGTGCCCTCCTCCCGTTCTTGTCTCCTTTTCCTGGCTGGGTGACGCCATTTCAACTGACAGCGCGTCCCCGCCAGGGCCAGCCAGCTCCTATTCCTACTTAAAGTGATTAGCCGGGGGCGGCATGTGTCCAAGGTTCTACCTGGACTCATTCCACCGCCCTGCTATATCCCGGCAGCCACGCAAACGTGGCTTCAGGCGAAAATATGTATTTAAAGGGGCGCCTGGGTGGCTTAGTCGGTTAAGCGTCCGACTTTCGCTCAGGTCATGATCTCGCGGTTCGTGGGTTCGAGCCCCGCGTCGGGCTCTGTGCTGACGGCCAGCTCAGAGCCTGGAGCCTGTTTCAGAGTCTGTGACTCCCTCTCTCTCTGACCCTCCCCTGCTCACGCTTTCTCTCTCTCTCTCTCTCCTAGAAATAAATAAAACGTTTAAAGAAAAGAAAAAGAGAATATGTATTTAAAGACTTTGCCATCGTTTTCTACAGCATTTCTGAGAAAACTCAGCCATGATTTCAGTCGTATGATTAGTTCTGAACCTTGTTAGTCTCAGCTTGGTTCCAGGTATTATGATTACTTTTTAAAATTCCGTATTACTTCTTGTGTATTTTGTGGATGTTTAGCACCAGTTATTTTTCTTTCTTGACCCACCATTTATTTTTAGGTTCGTTTATTTATTTAAGTGATCACACCCAACCTGGGGCTCGAACCCACGACCTCAAGATGAAGAGTCACATGCTCTTCTGACTGAGCCAGCCAGGCACCCCCTGACCCACAATTTTTCATGCTGGTTTCCACAGCAACAATGAGTACATTCTTAGGTTGTCAGCTACACAGTAACTAATTTCATTAGGACTCCCCTCATAAATGAGCTAACATAGCCTGAGTGGTTCTTGAAGAGAATTACCAAGTACTTTTACCAGTTATACAACCAACCTGTACCGTGTCAGTCTGACTTACAATGCTGCCTTAAATAAGATACCTGTTTGATCAAGGCATCCTTTTATATTCTGATTACAACTACTTTGGAATGACTAACACAGGGGTTACTTTGTGAAAACACAAGGTGATTCTGCCGTCTTAGTCAAAACTCAAGATCTAACCTCCTCTCTTGATATCTGGCAACAAATATGGCCGCCTTCTGGGAGGCGCGCCTGGAAAACGTTCAACTGTTTTTCAAAGACTGAGGACTGACTTGCTCGGAGGCAGAATTCTCAGGGTTACTCCACTCATATCATTACTCCTTTCTTTATTCTCCTAGAACTTTCTGAACCCAATCAAATCATTTCCAAATGGATGCACCCAGACAGCTTGTATCATCTGGACCTCTCCTGTCTGCCATGATCTCTTCTTGGCTCCCTTCACTCATGTTCCGCATCATTTTCCCCAGACTAAGCCTTCTGTTTTGGACCCGTCCACCAGCCAGATTCTTCCCTTGAAATTCCACCTTTTTTCTGAATGCAAAATATACAGAAATTAAAGAATTAATGTCCCACTCACACGAACCAGGAAGAGAACCACATAGGTAGGGAACGTGCCCAGGACGGGCCGCCTGGGACAGTATCCGGCTCTATAGGAGCAATGCAGCTTTCCAGGGACGGATGAGAGGGTGAGAGCTGGCCCAGCCGGACCCAACGCTAGCTTTGCGCCCTGCTCCCCCTTCTCATGGCTTAGGACATGGTTAAACTTCTCCCCGCCCGTCATCCTCAGCCTGAACCAGTATCTTCCTAGTGCTCTCCGAGTCTTTTGGAGACTGCCCGTTTTCCCTTGCTCTGCCCATACCCAGCTCTGGGCTCTTCTGGAACAGACTAGAAAGGTTTATGCTCAGAGCTATCTGCAGGCAGTGCGTGGCCAGCTTTGGCCCTCCTCTCTGTCCACTTCCAGGAAGACTTCCTGCTGGAAGAGGAGCAGGTACCCACACTGCCCACTCCCAGATGGGTACAGACTTTCACGTGCTCCACTTCTAACACAGGGAGCCAGTTAATTACAGAAACACCGCAGTGGCGTGAGAGCAAGTACTCTATGCCACTCTGAGCCTGGCAAGGCAGTGCTAAGTGCTTTTTGTGAGTGTCTCTGTAAATCCTCACCGTAACCCTATGAGGTAGGTAGGTATCGCCCCCACTTTACAGATGGGGAAACTTTCTTTGGATCAGGGAGGTTAAGTGACTTGCCCAAATCCCAGAGTTTATGATGGGGCCAGGATTCAAACCCAGCTGTCATTGGCCCTTAAACACCAGGGTGGTATGGCCTCTGTGAATAAGCTTTGCTCACGAGGAGGGCTTTGGGATCCAATGCTCCTGGTCCAAACCCAGAATTGCTGCTTGCTATGTGAACTCGGGTATGCCTTTCCAACACTATGATTCTCAACATCTTCACCCAATAAATGGAGTCATTAGCGCAGATGGAAAGAAAACATGGATGCCAAGGGCCAGGCCCAAAGAAGTCACTCAACAAATATAAGCTGCCTTCCCCACAACACTGTGAATTGAGCTCATCGGAGGATTGCTCTGCTTTATTATCTCAACGATATACAGCAACGGATCGATTAAATTGATGTCAGTGGCAGGAGCCAGACATACTAGACTTCCTGTACACAGAGTAGCTGATTTTCATGTGGAAACATGAAAGATGGAAAGCAGAGGGATATAAACACTGAGGGCAGACACCTTCCATTGCAAGAATTGGCCCCAACCTTAATACAGCCTAGTTTCTGAGAACACAGGTATGAATACCAGGTGAATCATACTTTCCTTATGGATGGGAGTTAGTAACAGAAAATAAATAGATGGGCTCTCGCCAAATACAAGAATTTTTTTTAGAGGCTTCTATTGTTAATTCCTCCTTTCTGCAAATCCTCCTGAACCTTCTCAAAGGATCAAGTTGATGAAGGAATTACAATTAAATCTAGGAGCCCACTCCCGCAGGGGTGGGATGAGCATCTTCCTGGGGGTGTTTTCTTTAAGTTTTTCAAGTTGTATTTTCTTACCAAGCTTCTTTCCTTTCCAGAACTGAGTTAAGACTTCTATTTAAACCATAACTCACAAATCGTGTGGCATAAAGTAGGCATAAAGTAGACAAGAAAAGAGAAAGGAGGGGAGGAGGGAGGGAGGAGGTAACAGCTATTTTAGGAATATGATTAGGTGTCTGGGCTCCGGGGAAAATCAGAGCCCATGCACATGTCTCCCACTCACTCAAAAACACATTACTCTGCTGCTGAATCGCTGCCCTCGGAACTTGTGTTGGAAGGACCGTTTCGGGGCCTCAGATTTATGACCTTTTTAAGGCAAGAGAACAGAAGGGCGACAGGGAAACCATTCTGGACGATAGCAAAATAATGAGTGTCGGCGAGTGGGAGAGGCACTGAGGTCTTGACTACAAGTACAATGAGCAGCAGGAAACGGAAAGCTGAAGCATTCAAGTCTGAGAACTAACAAAATAAGAAT